TTCTGCAGTCGCTCTGAAAAAGCTGCGCTAGCTGAGTCAGCCGGCTGCTCTCGAAATGCTCTCGCGGTAATTTGATGCCACACGTGATAGTGACGTAGCGTCGGTTCAAATCGGACAAAATTTCTAACCGGCATGCACTACTTCAAGTCAGCCGCCGATCGGTTTGCGTGGCACCGTATGAAGTCGAACGCACCTTATGACAACATGAGGGCTACTTATAGCAGACAAGAGAGTCGCATGACAAGAACAAACCAATGGGGAACAAGACACATGACTAGGACAACCAATCAGAACATGACACATGAACCAAAGAACAAATCAGAACATAACACACAGACAAGGGAATCACATGACAGAACATGATCACATGTGGGGCAAGGAACACATGACAAACCAGGAAATTAAACTAAGATCATGAATACAAAGCAAAAGACACGAACACCAACACAACCCAAAACAAACCCTGACATATCCCCCCTCTAAGGGTGGGTCCTGACGCCCTAATGTAACATCCACCCCAACCAACACCACAAAATGTCCAGGAGGGTGGAGGACTGGAGGTGGTCCAGGGGGTGGGATGGAGGGCCAGGCCCGTGAACAGGAACAGGCAGAGCGGGGAGCCATGGCGGAGCAGGCAGATCCGGGAGCCATGGCGGAGCAGGCAGAACGGGCAGCCATGGCGGTGCAGGCAGAGCAGGGAGCCATGGCGGAGCAGAGACATGGATAGACCACTTGACTGAGACAGAACAAGTAGAGAGTTCTTGAATGGCCTCCTTGGCCGTGAGGACAGACAGTGAGTTCATGAACGGCCTCCATGGCTGTGACAGGGCAGACTGTGAGTTCAAATGGTGACCGCCATTACAGAAAGGGCAGCAGAGTGTGGCTTGACCTCTAAGATGGCGGGGCTTGAGAGCACTGACGTCACTGGGATGCCTGCAGCTCGCACCGACATCAGAGGTGGGTCCATCACATTAGCAATCAGTCTTTTCAGTCTTGGCCCAAGCTCCGCATCCGACTCAGGCGTGGAGGCCATCTTGGCCGGGGACTCAGGCGTGGCAGCCATGTCGTGACGAGACTCTGGAAGATCAGTTGAGACGTGATGAGACTCTAGAAGGGCGGCCATTTTGTGAAGAGACTCCTGTGTGGCGGTCATCTTGCAATGAAGCTCTTGAATGGCGGCCATGTTGTGAAGAATCTCTTGATGTGCCGGCATGACGTGAGCAAGCTCTGGCTTGGCAGACGTGTCGTGAGCAGGCCCTGTCGTGACGAGACTCTGGAAGATCAGTTGAGACATGATGAGACTCTAGAAGGGCGGCCATTTTGTGAAGAGACTCCTGTGTGGCGGTCATCTTGCAATGAAGCTCTTGAATGGCGGCCATGTTGTGAAGAATCTCTTGATGTGCCGGCATGACGTGAGCAAGCTCTGGCTTGGCAGACGTGTCGTGAGCAGGCCCTGGTGTAGTAGACATGACATTAGCAGACTCTGGCTTGGCAGACATGAAGTGAACAGGTTCTGACTTGGTAGATATGACACGAGTAAACTTTGACTTAACTGGCATGATGTGAGCAGGTCCTGGAGTAGCAGGCGTGACGTTAGCAGGCTTTGGCATAGCAGACATGACGGGAGAAGGCTGTGGCTTGGCAGACATGATGTGGGCAGGCTTTGGCTTGGCAGGCATGACGTGAACAACTCCTGACATGATTGTCGGGACGTGGAAAAGGTCTGATGTGGTGGGTACTGTAGGATAGCAGTGTTCCTCCTCAGCATCCCCCACAGTAAATGGTGAACCAGCCAGCAACAAAGCAAAGTCAATGTATTTTTTAAGAGTCCATTGAGGGGTATTGCATTAAACAAGATATATTTTTGTCCAAACCATAACGGAAAATGTCCTTAAGGAATGTTCCATTAAAATCCACTAGGTGATAGAGTCCACAAAAGTCCTAAACATAATCCTCAATGGAGCGATTACCTTGACGGAGGCGAACAAGATGATCTGCTGGGTTCATTTTGCGGTCGTGTATTCTGTAACGAATCAGTCCACTGAAGGCGAGCGTAGTGAAGAACCCAAGTGCAGTTTATTTACAGACAAGGTGAAATCCAAAATCCAAGCAAGATACACAGACTTGACTTGACTAGGCATGAACAGACATGACTAGGCATGAACAGACTTGACTCACCGACAGCGGGTTACAAATTCAATACACAACGAGAGACAATGACAACATGAGGGCTACTTATAGCAGACAAGAGTCACATGACAAGAACAAACCAATGGGGAACAAGACACATGACTAGGACAACCAATCAGAACATGACACATGAACCAAAGAACAAATCAGAACATAACACACAGACAAGGGAATCACATGACAGAACATGATCACATGTGGGGCAAGGAACACATGACAAACCAGGAAATTAAACTAAGATCATGAATACAAAGCAAAAGACACGAACACCAACACAACCCAAAACAAACCCTGACAGAAACAGGCACTGGACTTGTTCTTCTCTAGTGTCTCTGATCACGTACACAGTTTAAAGTTTTGAGAAACCTCACTGAAATGTGAGCATGTAAATATTACTAATGTTTTTTTGTGTGGAATTATTGAGGTAATATGAAATTAATACTTTTATTCATCAAGGAATGCATTTAATTGATCAAAAGTGATGGTAAAGACATTTATAATGTTACAAAACTTCTTTTGAATTTTCTATTTATCAAAGAATCCTGAAAAAATCTAATTTTGTACAAAAATATTAAGCAGCATAACTGTTTATAACTGTAATAATAAAAAGGAATGTTTCTTGAGCACCACATCAGCATATTCAATTTCTGAAGGATCATGTGACACTGAAGACTGGAGTACATTTGCATTGCATTTTAATATATTTTAAACTAGAAAACTGTTTTTTTTTGTTATAATAATATTTTGCAATATTACTGTAATAATATTTCGCAATATTACTGTTTTATTTGGGGTGTGCAGCAGAGCCAATATCTGTATTTGTAGAAATCTCAAAATAATTTTTATCTGTATTTGGATAAAATCTTGAAATGGGCAGGGCTTGAACCAGAAGTTTGTCGAATTACACGAGAAGTCCATTTTAAATGTAATTCTGTTCCCCTCATACTTTTTGATTAACAAATATGTCTTAAATAACTCCTTAAAATGATTATTAAATATCTTTTAATTAAAACAATAAACAAAATGTTTAATAAAGGCTCTGATTTCTGAAAATTGCATAGAAACGGCAAAATGGTTTTGATTTGCGACCATGCTGTTCTCATTTCATTCACAAGAGTTTACACTCCTTAGTGTATCATAGGGCTGGGCCAAAAAATTATCACAATTACATTTTTCATAGAAGTCAATATCGGTAATTATCAAAATAAATGTCAAAACTTTTTTTTTTTTTTTTAGGTTTAAAGGTTTTGCTCCTTTGTGAAAGTTGTAGAAACCAGTTAATTTTAGTTTTATACTGCTCTTTATTTTTAGAACATGACAAACACTGTTATTTAACCTTTAAAAAAATACTTTTGTTGGTATAACGCAATGTAGTCGGTTTGACTTGGTGTTGCGGTTAATTTAGATGACGCATACTTTTTAGGTTTACTTTACTTTAGGTAAAGTAATAATTATAGCATTGTTTTTATCCCGTGGTTTCCAACAAGAAATGGATGCCAACAGTTAGGGCCCGCAAATTTACCATCAACCAAGATGCAGGGTTTTTTTTTTTTTGGCTCATTACATGTGGCAAAATGTGAGCTAGAGTCATGTATTGTAGACATGTACTTCTTTTCCATGTGATTTGTTTACACCATACTAGGAGAAGAGAAACAAACATCTCTGATATGCTTTTAATAGCGCCATTAACAACTATGGGTTGTGTTCAGTTCTATAGACACGTCGTTATTACTTCTTGAATTTTTCAAGACTTAATTTGCCTGTCGAATGCGGCTGTCACTCCTGTAAATAACCAAACTCTGTGTTCAAAACAGGATTATACAGAAGTGACAACCGCATTTACCTGCACATGGCCTTGGTGGCTTTTTAACGACACAACAACAAATCTCATTTCCCTAGTCAGAGCATCCTGGCCAGTCACAGCGCTGCACTGATTCATTTGGCAAGAAACATTGTGGTCCCACAGCCTGGCAGTGGAGTACCGCTGTTCTCCATAATCGCAGTGAAACAGAATGCCTCAGCAGCCCTCAGGGCAGCCCGTTTGTCTGTATAGATCAGTGTGCCAGATGGGAGTCCATGTTCTGGGATCAGAAGAAAGCTAATGCATCATCCCACTGATAAGAGCCCTAGTGCCAGAAAAGACTCCCGTAGTGTCATAGATTGCAACAATTAGTTTTAAAAGGGAATGCAAGTGGGTCATCCTTCAGTATTCACACTGAAATCCATAATAAGGTTTGGGAAGTTAATGACAAGTGAATGGCAAGTGACTAGTGTATTTAGATTGAAACATGGTCATAATAGACAAAATGGATACATTAATAATATAAAAAGCACCATTTTAGTTAACTGTTTATAGATGTGAAAATGATCAAATCTGCTAGTTTCTACCTCGGAGTGAGAAAAAAAACATATTTCACAATTGCAACTTTATATCCCACAATATGACTATTTGTTATTTGAAACTTTATCTCACAATTACCTTTTTTATATTGTACTCTGAGTCTGAGGCATAAACAAGCTTCCGTAGATCCCCAAGCATGGCACAGTATCAATAATGTTCAGCTGCTGATTTCCTGCAGAATACTTCCTTTTTAATTCAGATCAGGGTTTTATTGGAATGCCAATAATGATTCTGATAATTGGCTTGTTTTGGTTTGATATAATAAGAAATTATAGTCTAATAGTGCGGTGTGGTGCTAGAGATCTTTTGGATTTTATATTATTCCAATATAATGTGAATAATTAGCATGGAAAGATCTCCAATCTGTTTAAATAGATTGATTTTTGTCTTTGTTTGGTTTGTTTTTCAGGCCTTCCGTTGGCCAATCGGGAGTCAAGTGAATGGCGACGATATGCTGGAGATCCAAGTGTTTAATTACAGCAAAGTATTCACTAACAGGTATGAGAATTCAATACATTTGTGACCCTGGGGTGCAAAAAAATCTAAATATTGGGAAAATCGCCTTTAAAGTTGTCCAAATGAAGTTCTTAGCAATGCATATTACTAATCAAAAATTAAGTTTTGATATATTTACAGTAGGAAATGTACAAAATATCTTCATGGAACATGATCTTTACTTAATATCCTAATGATTTTTGGCATAAAAGAAAAATCAATAATTTTGACCCATAAAATGTTTTTTTTTGGCTATTGCTACAAATATACCCCAGCAACTTAAATATGGAAGCATATAGGTAGCGAAATTCAATTTAAAATGCAATATGCAAAATGGCAATACAATATTCAAAATGGCATTGTATTTATGTATTTCAATTTACGTTTTCCATTACCCATACGTGCAAAGCTTGGTGCAAAAGGAAAATGAAAATGAAATTATATAATTTACATTTGCCATTTTCAACAGTATTCTTAATATGTAAATTGCATGCAAATTTTAACGCTTTATAAGTTGCGAAATGAAAATGAAAATGTATAACACAAATTGATTTGATATGTGTAACATGTCCAAGCAGAAATGGTAGCATAATGATCATTTAAATGCTATTTGGCCTAAATGCATTTATACTAACCACCGTTAGAACACTTAGGATTGCATTTTCATCATGACGCCGTGGGATATTTGTAGCAAAATTCAATTTGAAAATGCATTCCGAGCTGACCATGCCCACCCTCCATCAATCATTGCTTCAAGGCAGGGATTGGCAGAAGTGTGGTATGTTTGGATCGTTTGAAACATGGCGGCTGGAGATCTGATAAGATCGTTGAATTCACTGGCAGATGAAGTGGAGCGTGAATAGAGAAATATATGAAGCGTATTCCATGCTGAAATCAAACGTTCGAACGACCGACCGATCGAACGTCTAGCCGAACGTCTTGAGCTTTGAGCGTCTTTCACTGCAGGTGACCCACGTGATGTCAGCGTCTTGAAATTAGCTGGTTTAAACATTTAAGGAGCCAAGCTGCTGTGTAAAGGCTATAAATGGACATTACAAGCATTACAATAATGATATTTTATACCTAAAATAATACTCAGCCATTTCCTGCATCCTGCTGTACTTCCCTGAATAAGTATTTAAAGGTGTTGTAGGCTAATAAGTCGTTCTGAGTATTAAATTGAAAAAGCTCCCACCTGTATATGACTAAACAAAATAACATGTAGTTT